ACCAGCTGCACTGACACTTCTGCTACCTTGCTGTCAGTACTAGTGTTTAGGGGACGAAAGCTCCCCTGAAGCTAAACTCAGAAAAAGCGTGTGACTACAAATCTACAGAGGCAAGAGACCAACTACAGAAACAGACCCTGCAGGCAATCTTCTTTGTGAGAAAGGAACACACAGCCTATATTATTTTGATTGTATCCCCTTACTGAGGGAAGGAAAAATAGGGAAAGTTGTTGAAGTCACCTTCCCAGTGAAAGATTTCTCATTTTGGTAAGAAAGAAAAAGCCTCTCAGTAATGAAAAAGCACTAACAGCCAGGGACATTTCTCAGAGCTTCAGAGAAAATGCACTTCTCTTTTCAACGCATTCACCATATTCAAATGGCTCCGAGTGTTCATCTGAATTAAAGTACAAAAAAACAACTACAAACACACACAAAAAAAACCACAAAACAAAACCAACTAAACTTTCTTATAAAGCCAATTCAATGAAACATCTACTGGTTCAAAATATACCCTAATTTTTATGCAAAATAAGTGCTTTGCAAAAGGTGCTTGGTGTTCTTCAGATCACATGCAGAACCCTGATATAGCACACTCCACACTGGAGTTAGAAATACCAATAAACATCCAGGTTATCACTGCACATCTTTTATAAAGGACAACAGAAGACAGACAAAGTTTATTTAATCAGATAACTGAGCAAAGAAAAGCCATTTAGTTGCATTTACAATGTGAATTAGACATCTCATCTCTCCTATTTCTGTTTTTCCACATAATTAAAATACCAGAAGTTTCACATTTTTCTCATATTACACTAAACTGCTTACATGCAGAAATTTGCAATTTTGATTTTTTTAAATACATCCAACACATACTTCAAAATATGAAGAACTATCTTTCTTACCTAGATGCATTTCTTTCCTGACAACACTTTCACCAACATTTTGACACAGTGTTTCTGAAATACCCTTTCTGCTTTCTGCCAGAACTGGTAGTTCCTCTTTTGAAAGAGAAGGCTCTTTGGAAGCTGAAGTCCACATTGTTTGACTTCTTACTTGATTTACTCTTGAACAAGAGCTGAGATCTAAAAACTTAAAGTGTACTGGAGTTTTCTCAGCTTTTTTACCCAAGGTTGAAAGATCAAAGGATGACCTTCCACTTAGGTTTACTAAATTTCCAGATGTTCTCATGGGTAAAGAGCATGATTCTTTCAGGTGACCCTCAGCAAACTTACTTCCTGGAACTGTACTACTTAGTGAATCTTTTTTCTCTTTTAACAGTGCATTATTTATTGAATTATCATTAATCTCCAAAGAATGTTCATTTTTGACTGTGTGTGTATTGTTATTAACATTTTCACAGGGTATTAGATTATCTGTACTACTTCTGTCTGTTGAGGTTTCCTTATGAATGATTATTTCAAGATTGTCAGCATTTGCTGTAGATAGATTTTCAACATTCAGAGCACATTTATTTGTACCACTGACTGTTTGCTCAGCACTGGCTTGTTCAGGTTGCTTGCTCTGCATGTCATTCACACTTATTCCTCTATCTGCTTTTGCAGATAAATTGAAAGTACCTTTAAGAGGCCTATTAGTGCTACGTTCTTCTAGAATGTCATCACCACTTGCAGTATCACCATAAAGAGTGGGTAAATTTGCAGCATCGGCTGCTGAAAAATCAACACTCAGTAGAGCAGCATTTCTGCTTATGTTTCTGGCATTATCATCGCAATGTCTCCCTTCAATATCTACATGTTTCTGTTTACACAGAAATTTATCCATATGTAAATCACTCAAACTTAACCTTTGTTTTTCTGCTTCCTTTGGTCCGTTTTCTACACAACTGTCACCATCCAGCAAGCTACAGTCCTGGTATTCTGCCTGATCATCTCCTTTGGTATAAGATAGGATGCCAACATTTAATTCCTTGGCTTGATGACTGCCTGCACTTCTCTCGGGCGCAGCGTTCTCCTCAGTGCCAAGAGCCTCTGCAGACTCTTTGCTGGGTGCTTCAGGCACAAGGGCACTTGTGGTGCATTGTAGGGTACGTGTCTTTTTGCCTGCATTAACACAAGCCCGTTCGTCTGTGGCGCTGCCTAACTCTTGCTTGCTGGGGTTTGTCTCCTGACTTGTAGCCTTTTGGCAAACCCCTGCTATGTCGATGCCATCTGAAAATGCCTTCGCAGTCCCTGTGCGAAGCGCTGAGGGCGGATCGGTGCTGTCCGGGAGCTGGTGTTCTAAGCCTGCTTTCTCCTCCAGCAGCAGCGCTCTGGGGATTGCTCCCAAACTTTCTGCTGCTTTGCGCTCAGTGACACACATTTCCCAGGCCTGTCCTTGGGTAATTAGGTCGGTACCTGTGCCGAGGGTATTCTTCTGGGAAGAAACCTCCCCTTGCTTTTCTTCATGAGGGCTAGCAACATTATCTTCATCCTTGCAACTGTTTTCAAGAACTTGTAAAACTGTTAAAATAAAGATAAATGTGTAAATGTTTAAACTAAAGATAAATGCAAACTTTTTCAGTAACTTGCAAAACATTCATGAACTGTTCAAACATAAAGGATATTAACATTCATTATGTTTTAAGTATGAATTATGACAGAGAAAATATTTCCCAAGAGGTATGTTAGCCTAATTATTGAAAAATCTTCATTATGAATGTATAACACATTTAACAATTCAGTATGTCTTCCTTTCTACATAACGTTTATGGCACTGGTATGCTACTGCTAGTATATTTAATGGTTTGGGGACAGGCAGGAATAACTAAAGCTTTTCATTGTCAGAAGGGGAAAGGGCCGCTTGAACTGGCATGCAAAAAAAGTACTGCAAGAGGCTAAGGGGTGCCAGCCCACAGACCAATATTTCACAGCCCAAGGCAGTTCGTGGTAGCTCTGGCCTTTCATCCTGAACCTTGTGCACTTTTCAGATTAGCACTACTGACACCGAGAATATTGCTATCGTTAGCACAAGAATATTTAATTCTGGATTCCAGCCTTCTCTTGTCGTAGATTGTATCTGTAAAGCATTTATACTTTTGATAACAACACTACTTATCTCTATTGTCCATGTAACATTATTACTTTGTTCTATCTGCACTTCGTCCAAGTGGAATGGACAGTCCATTGCATTTTCTCTTCCAACTTCTTCTTCATGCCCAGAAATACCATCTTTCCTTATGTGTTGTATACATTCATTCTCTTTCTGAATAGCCTGTATTTCACCGTCTTTTGATTGCTCTTGACCACGCTGACATAAGAAGCAACAACAACAAAAAAAAGTATTCTAATAGTTTATTAGAGTTTGTGATTACATTCAACACTCATAACCTGAAGTGGGTTTTTTTTTCAATTAAGATGTAAATAAAAGACCATTATTTTGAAATAAATATGGTTAATGTAACTACCATTAAAAACAGGCTGGCACACTGGAAGAACAAGAAAGAAACTAGGTCATGCTCTACTACAGCTCACAGAGGAGGGAAAAAAGACAATTTTGAGAGGAAGAAGTGTGTGATGTACATGTGCTGACTGGATCACTCCCTCTGCCAGCAGGCCAATACCATTAAAAACAGGCTAGCACACTGGAAGAACAGGGAAGAAACTAGGTCATGCTCTACTACAACTCACAGAGGAGGGAAAAAAACAATTTTGAGAGGAAGAAGTGTGTGATGTACATGTGCTGACTGGATCACTCCCTCTGCCAGCAGGCCAAATCAGTGACTCATTCAATAATTACATAGGGGGAGAAAAAAAATCCACACCCGCTAATTACACTAACACATACTAACCACTTGGAGTTTGTAAGCTTAGCTTTGCAGGCAAATAAGGCTTATGAATTCTGCAGTCTCTGTCACCCAGTTCCTCATTCACTCCCTGTTGATTTTTGAACCTGAATTTGAGTCAGGTGTTACATTTCATAAAGCTTTGTGAGAACTCCAAGCTGGACAGTGGAAAAAAATACTAATAAAAAGCCACCCAAGGTAAAAAGGACAATGCATCCCTTCTCCGGGGATGCTCTTTGGTAGCGGAGCAGCAGAGAGCGCGCGATCACCCTCGCCCTGAAGCTGGGCGGCAGAAGGTGCTGCAGGAGAAGCCGCGTAGCGCTGCGCTCATGAGGCACGCAGCAAAGCTGAAGACCGGGGGAGACTGGAGGAGGAAGGCTGCGGTGGGGGAGGGAGTCACCAGCACCGTGCTTGGATGCACCACGTGCAGAACACCAAATAACCCAGTAAAACTGTGCGCGTTACTCTTGTGGAGTTACAGAAGAACTTACCCCGTTCTCTGGTATGGGCTGAGGTGTTGAGTGCATCTGAAAGGCGTTAACGTTTTTAGAAAGAGAGAAACGTTATGTATATTTACTGATTTTCAGAAAGCTGAATACACCTAATTTCTATTAACTTCAAGTGGCTGTTCAGCACTTCTAAAAATAAGTTCCAAGATGTTTAAGTTAAAATTACTAAATATTAAACCTAGATTTTATTTCAAAATCTCTACCTTTTATTTACTAAAATGTAATTAACATATCTAAAATTACATTTTCCTCAATGGCATATTTGACATTATTAAATTCAGAACCTTCTCAAAATCTTTCTCTGTGCATATATAGATATAATAGATAACATATTATATAGACTATGTTATAATTACATCTATGCTATAGGACAACATATATTATAAATAAAATCAATATAATATGAAACATTTTATATACTTATATGCATAATAGATAGAACAATCACAAGAATTTCAGACTGTAGTAGGTGTAAAAATATATGCACGTTTTGTACAACAGCTGCCATAGTTGAGATCTAAGGTGCACATTAACAACACGATGTCTTTTTACCTTATACTAGACTAACTTACTACAAATACCAGGTGCAGTATCACAAATCAGAGTAACTGATATCTTCTCCTGCAGCTCCTGTAATTTCTGGGCAGTTTTCTACAGCAGATTTGGCTCAGCCTAACTGCTTAGCTTTTGAAATCTCTTGAATTTGCCACAAGCCAACATAAGATACACTTACATTGTGTTCATCAAACTAAAACTGAAGACCTTAGTTAATCTTAATGTTCATAAAGTGAAAATTCTTATCTGTCCTGTATTAGAGGCTGAAATTAGTTCTTCTGAGTAGAAGCTTCCACATTTCCAAGGAACTTGTACAGGTAAAGGGCCAGTTGCTCTGCACAGATACTACTTGAGAAACATCTATATATTCACGAAATGGATTTCATAAACATAGATTACTTAAGATAAATGCTATTTACTCACTATTACTTAGTACTACTTTATTATTAAGCTTATTAACAGGAAATGAACATCTCAAGTTTTCATGTAATGAGCACCCATCAAGGAAGGGGAACTTGTGTACAGTAAGTTTCAATGGGGATCTTGGATCATTGTTCACATCAGAGCAATTATGTGAGGAGAAAAAAAAAAAAAAAAAGAAAAAAAGAAAAAAGGGAGATTAATGGATACCAGAGCTAGATTATGAACTGTTACGTCTCTGATGCTGCAGATTTTTTTTTTTTTTTTTAAACAAGGGGAAAATGCTGCAGCTATTAGACACACTTACCTGAAGATTTTCTGCTTGATCAGAACACTGATTTTCCCGAGAAGAATGATAATCTTCAAGAGATCCAGAAACTCCTTTAAGGGAATTCAGCTCATTTTTCATAGCAGCTATCTCTTTTCTCATATTTTCCTCCTACAATAATTGAGGGTACACAGAGCACACTGATCTTTACTGCATGTTCAAACATGAAGGACAGTATCTTACAGTATCAACAGCTTGGCAAATGAAGGTGAATCCTCATGCTGAATAATAAAATGAAGGTCCAGATTCCAAAGTAGTCCTGTATAAAGAATACAACAACTTTGAACCCTTTCTTTCAAGCCAGCAATTTTAACCACATTTTCGTTATCTCACAGAGAATCCTTTTACTAAGTGGTCTCTGATCACCTTTTACTTCAAGCAGTAGCTCTTAAAGAAAGTAGGACTTGTATTTGTACCTTGGTTCAATTTGTTATTCAAAAGTGCTAGTCAACCTATGACTATGGATGATTTACTTGATACTACTTCTGTAGATAGACAGAAGTACCTGTTACCTTTTCGGTTAATATGTGTCAGCTGCATCTTAAGTTTTAGCACAAAAAAGGAAGACGACAAGATGCAAGAATGAAAGAGTTATTTGACAAATTTCTCCATTTAATTGGCAAATGCTTTTTTCAGAGCAATGTACATTAACATTATCCATGATGCTGCTATACTAGAAGAAATCAAGAAATACAATCTTTAGTTAGCTAAAGCAGAAACAAAAAGTTATCTTCTAAAGCTTGGTTGGAAACATTGCTGAGAAATAAACAGCAAATTCCCTTGTCTATACACAAAACAATGATGTAAGACTCTCACAGAAAACAAGGAGATGGAATTTTCTATCCTCAGGGCAATTATCATCAAAACAGCAGTTATTTTGTAGCCTTCAGGTTATAAGCCTATATATAACCGCCTCCATAGTACCTGAACTCAAGGAGTCTTAGAATAACAGGATTAAAAGAACAATCCAACATAATTTCCACAAAGCATTTCCCAAAGCCTTCTACAACCTCAACACCTTTCTGGCAGTAGGTGCCAAATCAGTAGCAATAAAAGACAGACAACAGCCTATTAAACAAATGCTACTTAGAGTGTGATATTTGTACATGTGAGACGTTTCCTGTCTTATTTTAAAAGAATTCATTTCGCACACATGCCTTTATTTTTGCAGAGGATTTTTACAGCTATAGTATTTTGCCAAATCCTTGTTCATACATATGAGGAAATGAATTCATAAAGACAACATGGGTTGCCATTATTTTTTTTTAATCCCCTTTCATCCCATAGCCCATTTTGAATGTTTCCTGACAAATGAGAACCTCTGTCTTCATGCAACCCATCTCTACCTGATTCAAACTGAGTTTCCATTTTTTCTGAGTATGGTTCTTCTGAAGGACCTTAGTTTTCATCCTGTCCGACCACGCGGACGTACATCCGGTGTTTAGCATGAGTCACTGAAGTTCCCGGCCCTAATACAAGAGGGCAGCCTGGAAATGTTGGCACACACTGCTAAATTCTGGAGTAAAGTCAATCAGTGTAAATGGAAAAAATACATCAGCTTCTATTCCTAGGTAATGGCAAGTGTGCAATTCAGGAATATTTCTAAATGCTAAATTGAAGATAACATATTCTTGATTTATAGGGTTGCAGGAAATACTGTTCCTTGACAGCACAGAAGTCAACATCTTTACAAAATGTACCTTTTAAAATTAATCACTTCTAGAAAAGTCTGTGTTACTGAAAAGGAAATTTATATTTTAAAAATTGTTTTATTTCTACAGTATTTTCTTGGCTTTTAAGAATTGTCTGAAATGCTTGATGACCATTTCAAAATGTTTTTAATACTCTAATATTTAATTTAATAAACCTACATCTTTCTTCCAAGTTCTTAGTGCCTTCTCATGCTCATTCTGAAGATTAAGGAACTTTTCTTCATTTTCCTTCGCCTTCTCCCTTTGCAGCTCATTATCTCTTTCAAGGGTCTGCAATAAAATTAATTATCCAAAAAATAATCAATACCACATTAATGAATTTTGATGTGTTTTATGTTGCTTGGACCTTTGCTTCTAACATGCTGAAAGTGCCATACAGATCAGTGATAATGTGCTATCTCAACAATAATTTTCATAAATTAACAGAAAGGTGCTTATAGTTTAGCTAACAGGAAACAGGGGGAGGTTATGAGAAAAGAAATGGCTATAAAAGGGTATAAAAACACTTGCCATTATTCAGTTTCACTGCATAAGTTTTAATGTGCTGAAAAAGTAATATAAAGTACAGAGATGAGAAATATGAAATGTAGCACGATATAGGCCCAATGCACTTAAAGAAAAACTACCATATAGACAAAGAACATGGTTGGTTTGCTTATCAGTGTTTCTACTCTAAATTGCTTATTAACCTATCCTATAAACTGCATTACATTTAAATTGTAAAATATATTTCTTTGGACATCGAATATATATATATATATATATATGATTATCTTCATTATATCACTGAAACAGAACAAAAGGTCATTAAAGCAACAGTACTATTTTATTAATTTCTTTCATGATAGCAACTGTATTTAAACATTTTTTGGTTAACTATTTCATCTTTACTCATTGGACATCATCATACAGATAAGTTATAACTGACTGAGTTATGTCAATCAACGTAACATTTCTCACATCTTGGGTACTGCTGGAAATTTTATCCTACCATGTTTTTATATCTTCTATGCAATATGGAAGATAAGGACTAACTGCATCAACTGTCTACTAAACAGATGATACAAGCATACTTGATAATATAAATATCACTTTAATGCTCACATGTATATATGTATATTCATGTGTACTCATATATACACGTGTATTCACCCATGTATATGCACATGTGTTACACATGACTTTGCTTAGCTGCTTCAAAAGTCCACCTGCAAAGTGTTAGGTAGGGTAGTAAACTCCAGAGGGCTTCTATTTTCATTACTTTTGAATAATGTTATCAATCTACTTGATTCACTTGGCAACAATTTAAAAATACCTGTAGTAGTTTATCTGCATTAATGCCAATATATTTTACACGTATAGCTAAGATAATTCAGAAAACCTCATCTGAATGAGCATAGAAGAAATTATTCAGAATCCAGACTAAATCTGTTATATTGGAAGCTACCTAAAAAGAAGATAGAAGCTATCTGAATACTCACACTGATGTAGCACCTTTCATCCAGTTCTACAAGGCAGGAGCCCAAGGCCTCCTTTCTTTAATAAACTTGCTCTCATATCAAGGATCCTTTTACTTGTGGCCCAGATTCAACCTTCTGTCAGGTGGCATGCTACAAATATTTACAGCATAGCTCTTAGGATAACATGAGCAGCATATTAATGTGCAAAGCTAACACTGCAGAAAAAAGAATCATCTGTGTTACCTAAAGCTTTCCTTGAAGAGCTTCTCTTCTAAGGCAAACCCTGGCCTTGCTTATTGACATACGGAATCACTATCTGAAATGCCCGAATATTTAGAAGCCCTTGCAGCTAACAGTCCTATCCTACTGAAACACCTCTGAAATAACAATAGTTTCAAAATAACCTACTCAAAATATCTTCTTACAATCACAAAGAAATGTAATTAGAAGTAGTATGGAGATCAGAAAAATGAAATCAAACCTATATCTGAAAGGGTTAACTGTAACCCTTTTTATATCCTGAAGATCCATTGTAGGAATATCAGCAGATAAAATTTATTTTTTTTCTATAAGCAAGAGCAGCATCACCATCTTCATTATTGGTTCAGTATTATTGGTGTTGTTGCATTGCTGAAGCATGAAATTTGTGAAGAAAAAAAAGCACGTAGTACAAAGCAAAGCCATATCTGTTCTAAATGTGTAAATAAAATCAATCTAATATTTTTTAGATATACCCATAAGAAATATTCTAGTTTTAGAGATGAAGACAATGACTATTCCTAACTTGGAGAAATACTGAGTCCAAGTATCCAGTTGTTGGAATAGTGAGTAGTCCTGGAAGGAGAAGAGATGAGTCAGTACAAGGGCAGATGGTGCAATACTGGGTATACAGATCACTTGAGCGGTGGGAAGCAGAACTTGGCTAAGTCAGAGTTAGCACCATCTTCTTCGCTGAGGTCTCTGAGTTTTAAAGTCCTTCAGTCCTTAAAGTCCTCCTTTCCTACCATCATCATGCTTATGCACAAAGATGTTGGCTTTCAAAATACGTAATAAGAGTTTTCTTTTCTTCCAACCTTTCAGACTGACAAAAAGTTGCGATAACTTGTGGTGTTTCCTACCATCATCATGTTTATGCACAAAGATGTTGGCTGACAAAAAGTTGCGATAACTTGTGGTAATGCATTAACTGTGCCTATCAATTTCTCTTTTGGACAAACAGACTTTCATCAAGATATGCCAGTATTCTCTATAAGAAATCTATCCAAATAGAAATAAATACCTACTTCCTATTTAACTTAAGTTATTAAAGAAAACAAATGTTGGAGGAGTCAATGAATAGAATAGAGCATATGTTAAAGCCAGTTGTATAGAGAAGGGAATCCCAAATTTTTTGTGTTCTCAAATATTGTGTCGCACATTAAAAGGATTACAACTTGCTTTTTTGAACTCTTAAGGACATTGATATCCTCATGCTAAGCATTTCTAGAGAGAATGAGAAGGGCTGGCTTGATCATTCAGGAATGTCACCTTGCAAATTTAAGTGCCCAGTTACCTCAAACCCATAATAAGCTTTTGCGTGTGTGCGGTTATAAGAGAAATAGAGGCATTTCCACTGGACTCTGCAGTGACTTTTTGCCATTTTTCTGTTTTTCAGAAGAAGCTCTTTAGTAAGGAGCAAGGTCCACAAATACAACCAGGAAGTAGGATGGAGCACAGGAATTGTACATGACCTTCAGACTCTACTCATGATGCTGAGATTCCAGTATCAATAAAAATGAAGGCAAATGAACCTCCAAAGTTGGCAGGAAGGTGGGAAGATCCCCCAAAATATGTATTCAGACCCTATTTAGAAGTTCCATTTGCTGCTTTAGAAATGACACTGCAAAATAAACAGCTAACTAGCTAATGTAACAGCCCAGTCTCAAACCATCAGTCAAATTAGCAACTGCAAGATACAGTAATTTTATGACTATTAGATAAATATAAAAAGGCATATTTTGACCCAAATAATACTGCTAGAATTATTTATATGTTTATTGATTTTTACAAAAAACACTTAAAATATATAGCCACATTCATGTTTACAGGTGTGATCTCTTGGAAAAACATCATCTATCAGATCAAGTGCTTATATAAATATTATGAATCCTTTAATTCCTGCTCTCAAAAGAGAATGTCTTGGTTTTGAGAATGCACAGAATGCTCTCACAAATCTCAACTAAGACTAAATCTTAGCTGATCTTAATTGCCACAGTGAAGACTAAGAAGGAGTATTTACATCATCAAGCTTTAGAACTCAAACATCAAACTAGGAATTCAAGACTCCTTATATAGTCAGAGTTTTCAAAGGGTGAGTCACAGTCTCCTATTAGTTATCCATGTCCTCTTAACATCGGATTCATCTAAAATAGTAGTGTCCACAAGAAATTACCTCCAAGGACTACATTGAAGCTTTAACGAATAAAAGTTTGTCTTGGGGTTAGAAAAATTAGGAAATATGAATACCATACCAGTACCTGATATAAACAAGACCTAAGTCAGGACAGGCTCTCAAGATGACAATTAGTATCATGGCAAATTAAATTTAATTGGCCTGCACAGGCTACAAAGCACAGAGCTGTACTCAAGGCATACCTTAGCAGCAAGAAAACAAGCCCTACTTTGCTTGAGCTCAGACATTTCTGTAGAGCCTACAAAGTTTCACAGACAGAACTTGCAATTTTTTTTAGCTGGAGTTTCAAGGCATATCTAACTATCTACTTATCTCACAGAGGAAATAATAGCTCATAGCTATTATCACAAAAAGGGCATTTTTAGAATACATCTGCTATTGAGCAAGAGAGAGGTCCTTAAAGGTGTTCTTAAAATAATCATTCATAATATTTAATGTGTACATATTAAACTAGGAGTACAGTATTACTACACCTCTATTCTTTCCTTGTTCCTCTAAGCTGTGATTCTTATCTTCAGATTATTTTTCCTGAGCTTCAGGAAATTTGCTCTTATTTATAATTATCAGTTTAGGAAAAAAATGAACTTTTTCTTCCCACTCTAACAAAAAGTAATGCGAATACTGTATAAATAGCAACTAATTTGGCTATCTCACCAATTCTGCCAATGACCTAACACACAAGTAAGAAACGTTACAAAAGAACACGCTATATTGATAATCTCTTGCCCCTGGAATTGCTTAAATTGCTTTTAATTGGCCAAAAGCTTCAAATATGCTGAGAGGAAAATGTAACCTTTTCCTATTAAGCTTGTTTTGTCCTGTTTAAATGTTAGCCTTAGTTGTTCAGTCAAAATACAAGAGCAGAAGATAAACTGCATAAACTTACACATAAGATAAGCTTACATATAGCAAAGTAAAATAAAAGGTTTATATGAACTGAATCTAGTAGCAGTTTAGCATAGAATTGTTTTCTTAAACAAAGGCATACATGCACGTATGAAGTTAATTCTGAAACTGAGGCTGTAGCTCAGAGCTTTGATCTTGGAGGCTAAACAAGGAATGACCTGGTTCCACAGTTACATGGATCAACAGTATGCAGCAATTCAGAGTCCTATCAACAGGTGAACCTGGACTGTGCATGGGACACCTGACTGGAGCATATACGACCTTAATCTTTCATGTACTGTGGGCAAATTTGATTGCTAGCACAGTTTAGACTCTAATCTGTTCTAAATCCTTTCAGATTGCTAAAAGAGCACCTAGGAAATGTTGCCATTCCCCATGCTCTAGCAGGAATACTTACCATTCCCAAAACATATGCTGGACTGGACAGCCAGCAAGAAAGGGCTTAAAAAATGCGTTTTTTGGCCACTCTGCTCTAATAAAATTGAGAACAAGCTCTGAGCTGTGAGAATCTGAAATGTTTTTCCAGCAATGAGAAATTTAAACTACATAAAATAATTTTAACAAAAATTATTTTAAAAAGAGATATAAACCTTTTATTTAGAACTAAGTACTTGAAAGCAACCACAAGCATACTTTGGTGTTACCCGCCAGAAATGGCTGATAAGGAATGGCAACCATGATTTACTTTTGGCTGAGAACTAGAAAAGGGAAACCATAGAGTGTGTTTCAAGGTTCATGTTGACAGTTAAGGAGCTGAGGGAGCAATGGAAGTGAGGTCAAAAGTTCTAAAAAGCGTACAGATGTCTTTAACAGCCCTACACTTAAGAATATGTAGCAAATAGTAGCAGTTTGTCTAATCAAGAAAAATCTGACCTGATATTCTTCTTTCAGTGCCTTGAATTCATCTTCCATTCTAATATTTGTTTGTGTTATTCGCTGAAGCAACTTCTCCACATGTTGTAGAGAGCTGAGAATTGCCTTATTAATAAAAATAAAAAATATATTGAGTACATTTATGAAGTTTTAAAAGATTGTTATTTAATGTTTAAAACACATTTATTTTTTCAATACAACACAGAGCTCAAGCATGAAATTTTCACCCATCTGCAGGATGAGGTTTTTTTTTTTTTTTTTATTAAGACTCACTGAAAGTGGATCACGCCTAACAGTCTTACAAATAGAACTGATGTGACTAACAGCTAATTACTATATTGTAATTTTTAAGCAGAATAAGATCTAAGAGAACTATCAAAAATGAGTTAGTGTGTTTCACAGGTGGTATAGATTTAAAAACTCAAAAGATGTTGCCATTAATAAAGCTTGTTATAGTTAGCTAAAAATGTGGTGGAGATTAAAGGTATTTCATATTAAGCAATATCAAATATCTATCTCAAGTCTAAGACACCAGAGGTAATCTAGCCAAGCCAGTCTCTATTCCTTACAGACCAGATCAGCAGTTACTAAAGAAGAATCTTCACAGGAGCAGAACTGAGTGGGAAAAATAGCCTTAAACAGGTTTAGTTGTTTCAGAATATATTGAGACACAAAAAATTATTTAAACAAGTTACCTTCATATACTTAAATACCTTTCAAAATTATGTATTTTTGGTATTATCATTTATGCAGACACAGCCACCTAATGAAATTATTTTCGGCATACTTTCATCGTGAGAGAAATAATGTTTGTCTATCATTTTTCTTTGAAGTCTCAAATTACTTTTAGATCAGTTTTACTGCTAAAAAACCTGAAGCACAGAAATGTGAAATGAGTTGGCCACTGTCATCTGGCAAGTCAGTAGCACAGTCAGTTACATCCTTTGTGTCCAGTACCGTGTTCATTTAGCTAGACAGGATTGCTTCCCTGCATACAATTAATTGTAAATAGACTATCACAGATAATATACTCAGTCTCCGTCCAACAGCTACTGAAGCTAAAAACTTCACTTAATCCAGATAAGCTTTTAGATCTGTCATGCAAAAATACAAACATTGTAAGCCTAGCTCTTGGAGAAAACTAGTAGTAAATGTCTACGTTAGTCCACTCCTCAGATTTCCACCAAAACATCTATGTAATAAGAAAATCATATTAAAGAAAAAACATAAACATGGACAATACTAGTCCTTTGCCTAGGCAATACATATGACATAACACACGAACAAGGCAACAAGCATCTCTGCAAGAATGCTCTTAGCACATCCAGAGTTGTGGGAGTAGGGAAGATGACTGACCATGTAGCTCATTTTTTTCTAATGTTTAATGGCAAGTATTTTTCAAAAGCAAATTCAACACACGAACAGACTTAAGGACTGGAATAGTGCTGCTGCATTAGCCTTTAATGACTGTTCAGCGGGTACACATGCAAGCTGCTGCTCCTGTCCCTCCCTCAGAACAAGGACGATAACAGTTCCCTGCCACGTTTGATTTAATGACCTGCAGAATGTAAATTCTGCAACTTCCTTGCCATATGATTGATATGATTCCAATTTTGCCCGTTTTAAATACCCATAAACTGTTGGGTACCAGAATGCTGAA